TTCATTTAGTCTTCACAATGATCTTATTAGGTATTGGCTGGTTTTGTTATCCGCATTTTAAAGATAAAAGACACTGAGGCTAAGTGACTTGTCCAAAGTCATAGAGCAACAGAGCTAGAAAGGGAGCCCAAGTCATCTGATTTCAAGTTCAATACTCTTTTGCTCGAAACAAACATGTCACCAGGGAGCTTTAAGAATAACATCCTGTTCTGGCTCCGTGGGCAAATAAATCATTTAAACATGCCTCAACTTCCTTGAAAGGCAGCACAGTATAATGGCTAGAGGGCTGGCCTTCCTGAGTTCAGTTGGGAGGCAACAAGTTCTAGTGGGAAGAGTACTGGATTTGAAGTGATCTGGGTTCAAATCCTAGCCCTGCCACTGACCACTTATGTGACTTTGGGCAAATCACTCTGGGCCTCAGTTTCCTCAACTGTAAAATGAAGGAGTAGTCACTTCCAGTTCCAAATCCATGAATTCCATATCTCTTACTGTCTAGATTTGTTACCAAAGCCAAATCACTTAATCTCACTCAAGGCCACTCTCTTAGACTATAAATTGCCAAGAAGTTGCTAACTTCTACTTCTATTCATAGAGAGAGTTTCCAAAACCTGGGAGTTCCCTTTAATCAACAAAATCATAGCTCCAATCCTCATTCCTATCACCTGGTGATTTAGATTATTTCATGACCATATTAATCAGGTCTCCTACTTATACAAATAAATACACATATAAATATGGTCCAATCACCTACACACATGTGTACACATGCACAAATATGTATTTACACACACTAACAGAAAGCATAGAAAACATGTAGAAAGAGTAACGCAAAGTAAAATCTGTTCTCCATGGGGAGCCTTTCTTCCCGTTATTAGAAGTACAGATATCAGTTTCTCACAGACTGAGCTTAAGAAAAAAAAAGGAAAGGCCTTTTCTGGCAGAAATCCTTTGGCCTGGAACAGATGCCTTGTAATAGCTTTTGTTTGAATCACAAGCTTGCTAATTAATAGTTCCTCTTTTATTAAAGATACACCTTCCCATTTGCCTAGATGGGGGATAGCATGCTGGAGAGAGGTAGGAATTATTACACACACACACACACACACACACACACACACACACACACACACACACACACATTGGGGGGGGCAGACTATTTCATTAGTGTAGAGACCTTCTAATGAGGAAACTCTCTCTACCAAAGCAAATGCTCTAGAGTTGGGGGAGGGGAGGTAGGGCACTGAGAGGTTAATAACTTGCTTAGAGTCACACAGCCAGTGTGTGTCTAAGAAGGGACTTAAAGGGCTAATAGGGATAGGAGGTAACCCCAGAGGTCTTGAGGGAGGTCACAGCCTCAGAGTGACAGCTTTCTACAAGTCATCCAGGCAGCATATAGTCCTGAAGGATGAGGGCACCAATATATATGTCAGCCCCAGGTGTCAACTCCCCTGGATATTAACACCATTGATGGCTAATGGTTGAAAGGGAATGGGAGAAGGAAGGTAGTGGCTCCCCGACCCCTTAAAAAAAAAACCTTTCTCATCTCTGATGCACATTAGAAATGTTTCCATTTTTCTAGTTTCCAGAGATTCTAGGGCAATGATTGCATGAATGGGATGGTGAGAGTGTGAACTAATGAGGGCTCCATCTTCTTCTTATCTTTGCTTAGGTTCCAGAAATCAGTAATGTATAAGAACGAGGGTGCCACAAAGAAAACCATTTCATTTGAGCTGAACTGAGCACTATCACGATATTAGAAACAGGGAGAAATCATGATATTAGAATCAGGGAGAAATCTTCCTGACAGTTTACATAAGGCAAAGCAGTGAAACTGCATGAGGAAGCAGGAAAAGCAGACAAAATAGCTTGAGGACTTTTTGTTTATCTCTGACTTGACCACTGCCAAGGAAAACAGCCTTAAGTCCATAGAGTACAAAGGAGCCTTTATTTTAAGGAATTGACTTCTTTCCCTTTAGATTCTATATGTGAATTGTACTGGCTGGGAGGGGAGTTGGGCCAGAGTTCTAAAGTTAAGAAGCAAATGCCTCAATTTACCAATTTAGCTATGTCTGCAAAGCACACACACATGTACATGTATATATGAAAGTATATAGGCATACATACATGCATATGGGTATATGTACATCTATACACACATGTATGTATGTATGTATATTATATATATTATGCATATGTGTATAACCAGATCCCCCTTGGATCCTCACATCACTTGTGTGAGGTAGGTAGTGTAAGTATTATAGTAGTATCGTTATTCGCATTTAAGAAATGAGACCAAGAAAGGTTAAGTAACTTGGTCAAAATGACACAGCTAATAAGAAGGACCTTTTGATGCCATGCTGATATTGTTTGTCACCTCCACTAAGGTCCTCTTCTGATACCTGATGATGGCATGGAGGTTACCCTGGAGTTGTCAAGACTCTTTTAGGAAGGCATAAACTCTGACAGATCTTGTCAGACTGGAAAGGTTTCAAATACAGGTTTAGCAGCCGTGTGGGGGGGGGGGGGGAGGAAAGAAGGAAGGGAGGAAGAAGAGAGAGGAGAGGGGAGAGGAGAAAAGGGAGAGGGGAGAAGGAGGGGACAGAGAGGAAGCGGGGGTGGGGAGTGGGGGAGATTGTTGTTCAAGCACTAGCCTACATAAATATAGAAAAACTTTGAATGAAAGAAACTATTGACCTTGACGTGATAAATGTATTAGCTAAAGCAATTCCTGAAACCATATACTAAGGCTTGGAAAGGCTGCAATCTGCAATGGTGGAAGAAGTATCAATGTGGATGAAATTGTGGATCTTTTGAAACATTAAAGTACTTGGGAAAAAATAAAACCATGTATGACACCTGCAAAAACTTTAGTTACAAATTACAGTCAGTCTTGGTTCAATCATGGATTTTATTTTGTCAAAATCTAGCCTCAGACACTTACCAGCTGTGTGACTTATACTCTGTCTGCCATAGTTTCCTCATGGGGATGACAATAATGACACCTGCCTCCCAGGGTTGTGAGGATCAGATTAGGTCATGTAGGAAAAGCACTTCATAAACCTTAAAGCTCTGTCTGAAAGGCCTTCTAACTGTATTTCCATTCCTGTGCTCAATCAATGGCAGCCCTTCTCCAAGACCTCATGATCAAGTCCAACCTTCTTTCACATTTAAAACTCTTCCTCACCTCTCTCTAATCTATCTCTCCAGCCTTATTATATATTATGCTACTTCTCACACTCTTCATTCAAGCCAACCAGGTCTTCCTGCTGTTCTTCACATCTATCCCTATTTCTATACCTTTCCACAAGCTATTCCCTATGCCTCCCTCAGCTCCGCCTCCTAGAATCTCTAGCTCCCTTCAAAGATTAACTCAAATAACCCCTCCTATGTGAGGCTTCTCCTGTTCTAGGCAACTGCTGGTGCCTCCTCCCACAATCCCCCAACATATGTTATTGTGTAGTCACCTTCAGTCACGTCTGACTTTTCACGACCTCCTTCGGAATTTTCTTGGTAAAGGTACTGGAGTTTCCCATTTCCTTCTCTAGCTCACTTTCACAGAGGAGGAAACTGAGATAAACCAGGTTAAGTGCCTTACCCAGATGTGCAACATCACAGATTTAGTAAGTGTTTGAAGCCAGAGTTGAACTCAGGAAGATGAATCTTCCTGACTCCAGACCTAGCAATGTATCCACCGTGTCACCTAGCTATTCAAAATATGTGACTACCTCATCCATCGTTTTCCTATCCCAGCCAAATAAATGTTCTTTATTCATGCTGTCTTTTTCCGTTCTCTACTCCAAAAATTACTGAAGTATAAAGTACTATATTGTAGAAAATAAAAATACTATGGCAGTGTCTACACAAATACCCAGAGACATGGGGAAAAAAAGTTGAATTCTGGCAAAATCTTTGTCCTCCCCCCCCAAAAAAGGCACATACCTAGTTCCTAGTACAATTTCTTCAACTCAATAGATGCTCAATAGATGTTTGTTAGATTGATCTGACACTAGTCTGTATGTAAGAACTAAATCAGGCCTTTAAGTACATTGTTGTTGTTGTTGAGTCATTTTTCAGTCCTGTCCAATCCTTCATGACCCCATTTGGGTTTGCCACTTCCTTCTCCAGCTCATTTTACAGATGAGGAAACTGAGTGACTTGCTCCGAGTCACTATACCTTCTCTAGTTTGGGACACCTGGCTAAGACCCTTCCCTAGCAAATAAAACAAAGTAAGTAAAGTAAACTCAAACACCTCTAATATTTGGTATTCTGGTATTTGGAATGCTCTAGATGCAGAATTTAAAGAGTGTGGGTGGTGGGGGTGGGTGGGGGAGGGCTGTGGCTAGGGTAGGAGTGAGAGCAACATGTAGAAAAGATGGTCAGCATTCTTGGCTTCCTTTTGAGTGTGAGGAGTTTTGTGATATTTGTCGTGGTCAATTCTAAAATCATAGACTATAGAATTGTCAAATATCATAGAGATCATCTAGTTGAATTCTTTCATAATTATAGATGGAGAAGTTGAGTCCCAAAGAGATCAAGTGTTACATAATAGTTTGTGGCAGAGCTTTGCCTCTCATCTGCCTTTCCTGATTCCCAATGCAGCTCTCTTTTCTCTATAGCACATAACTTCCATTGCTTGGCACTCAGTTATTCTAATAAAAAAAATACAAAAAGAAAACCAACCCCAAACAGTTGATTCTGTGATGTTGCATAGAAACAACCACACGCCACCCAATTGGCTTTTCATTATTCTTCACTAAAAAATGGAACAAGCTCAATCCCAACTTGAAAGTTTGAAGGAAGATTCTCTAGGTGAATGTTTGATACTTTCGGAAGAAATGTAGCAGAGCAGTAGAGAGCTGGATGTGGTGTGAGAAAATCTGGGTTTGTGCTGCCTCTGACATTTATTAACTGTGTAACCATGGACACATCACTTAATTTCTCTGCACCCAAGTTACCTTATCTGTAGAATGGGGCTAATAATACCACATGCAGTACCTACCTCACAACAATCTCAGAGGCTCAAAGATAATGCGCACGATGAGCTCTTTGAAATTTCAAATGTCCTCCAAGTATCAAGTCTTAATTATTCCAAGTCCTTGAGAAACACGCAGCATAGAAAGAAGAGCGGCTAGCAGTACCAGATCTCAAACCATTCTGCAAAGCATTAATTGTTAAAACAAAGAAAAGAGCAGTAATCCAATTGATAAATGGTCTGAAGATATGAACAGACAGTTCTCAAGGGAAGAAATCCAGGTTACCTATAGCCATCTAATGCTTCAAATCACTACTAATTAGAGAAATGTAAAGTAAACAATTCTGAAATTCTACCTCAAACCCTTAAAATGGTAAAGAAGACTGAAAAGGAAAATAAGTGTTGGAGGGACTGTGGGCAAACAGGCACATGAATGCACTGCTGGTGTACCTGTGATTGGGTACAATATTCTGGAAAATTATTTGGAACTATACATAAAAAGTTACTAAACAATATGTGTCCTCTGACCCAGATATACCACTGTTAGGTTTATACCCCAAAGATATCAAAGAAGAAGGATGCATAAAGTCCTATGTGCATAAAAATACTTATAGCAGTTGGGGGGTAAACCCTGGAAACGAAGATGTACAACAGTTGAAGAATGACTGAATAAGGTCTGGTATATTAATGTAATGGAATACTATTGTTCTATAAGAAATGGGGAAATAGATCATTTCAAAGAAAAATGGAAAGATGTATATGAACTAATGAAGAGAAAAGTAAAAAGAACCAGAACAATTTAACATCAATATTATAAAAGAAAACAATTTTGAAGACTTTTTTAAATGATGAAGAATGAAATAAGCTGAACTAGGAGAACAAATTATACAATAACAACATTATAAACAACTTTGAAAGCTATAAGAACTATTATCAATAAAATTACCATTTATGATTTCAGAGAATAAATGATGAAGCATGCTATCTGTGACAGAGATGTGATAGATTTGGGGTGTAGCATGACACATATATACATATACATTCATATATATGTATACACATTTATGTATATATGTATACATATTTGTATATATCCATTGAATAAATTTGTTTTGCTTCATTATACATATTTGTTACAAAGAATTTGCTTTTCCTTCCCTCCTTTCTCATTGGTGGTGGGGGGAATGAAGGAGAGAAAAAAATCAATTTTTGTTAATTTTTTTAAAAATAGAGAGGTGTGGGGATACTACAGATATGGAATGTTGTATGCACTTTCAGACCTGGTCACTGTATCATTAGTTTTACTTAGCTTTGTTACAGGAGAACTTTCATGAAGCAGGATCAATCTGTAAATGTAAACGTAAAAACAAAACACATCAATAAAGCTTTTTTTAGAAAAAAGAAAGGTAGAGCTGAAAGGCAGCTAACTTTGAGATTGTCCAGCCCTTATGTTATACATGAGGAATCTGAAGCCCAGAAAAACAAAATGATTTGCACACAGAGCATACAGTATGATGCTTTCTCTGAAATGACATTTCTGATCTAATTTCAAAACTAAAACCTCAAGGGCAACTCTGGGATTGAGGCCCAAATTAACATGTTTTTTAATGAATGCATATACTTCTACCCAACCAAGCTCCATTTATGGCTGGCAGTGCCATAAACCCCAACTTTTATCTTGCTGATGACTGTTCTAACCTGCTCCTTTTAGTGCTAAAGAATGTTTTCAAGATTATCATAGGAACCGAAGGTGAAGTTGACTTTTCTCCCTCCTGTGCTTGAACTTGGGTGCATTTTCTACATAATGGATGACATATAAAAGACATTTATAATAATTGCTCGGGTGCTAATGACTGTTTGGACAATAAGAAAGCTTGATTCCAAAGTTCTGTGATCAGCAGTGTTTGCTGTGACTTGGGGGGACAGGAGGACCAGTAGGCACTTACTTCATTTCACCTTTGCACTTATAATAAAAGTGCAGTAAAGCAATTGGTTAAAATGAGGACACATCTGATAAATGTTTTTTCAAAGTAATTGGGTAAAATAGAGACAGTTAATAAATCCCTTTTCTTGGGGGCAGAGGGCAGCTTGTTGAAATTCTTTCTCCTGCTTGGATTCCTTCTTGTTCTCCTCAGAGGGAAATGGACTGATGGACCTATGAAAACATTTTATAGCATTAACCAGGAAGAGATATGTACGCTCATCAAATAACAGAGTGTTAGTTTACATGCTATAAAACTTTGTTTTAAGATCCCCTTGGTTCATGCTACTAAAAGATACATCATGCTACTGCATATTTAACCACAAAGCTGGTTCTCCCATAAGGCCACCACATATACTTTGGCTTTCTTTGTCATAAAACAAGGAGAAGAAAAATGTAGGGAAGGAGACTCTCTAAATTCTTGACTCTCTTAATTCATTATAATCTACACCAGAGTTAAAAAATCCATGAATGACTCGATCAATGTTATTTCTCTGGAGAATTTGGTTTGCATTAGGACCAAAGAACTGACCCTGGGAAAAAAAGTCTCCAATTTTTAATTAAAAATTTATTTCTAGATAATTAAATATGTGGGAGATGACATTTAGTACAGTTATGATTATGCTCTTAGAATACATTAGCACATGACAGTAGTAGTAAGAATGACAAGAGTAAGAATATCATAAATAAGCATTCATTGATTTCTCACCTATTCATGTCCCCTAATAGCAATTAATGAACATGGAAGGCAGCCATATTGGCCCAGTGCACTGTACAAAATGGAGACCAGCAGCACCAGGGAATTAATGTTCCCTTTGATACTCTTGGCTTATCTCAAGCTACTAATTTTAGAGGAAGACACTTTGGGTTGCAACCTCATTATTCTAGGATAAGCAATCACATCTGTAGAGCCTCCAAACCATGGGTCTAATCTAATGGGAAGCAAGGGCCAATGAAACATACTTTCAGGGTCATATTTTACTGACTTGACCTGATGGCAAGGAACTACATACTAAAGGACAAATTAGGGCGAAAAAAGGACACCTGAACCTTTATCTCAAATTCTAGTCTACTGAGAGACTATACCATATAATTTCTTTAGTCTATGTATCAATTAGTCATCACCAAATAGTATTCATGGAGTATCTGTATGTTTGCTTGTGATGCTATGTTGGGCAGAGGTAAAATAATTCAATGAAATTTGATAAACATTTATTGAGCACCTATTGTGTTCCACGTAGTATGTTAAATATATTGGGATTAGAAAAATAAAAACAGACAGCTACAAGGACCCTACAAAGAAGAAAATACAAAATATATACAAAGTAAGTCCAACGTGTTTTTATGAGAGAAATTACTAGTAACTGCAGAAATCAGGAAAAGCCTCACATAGAAGCTGACGTTTTAACTGAGCCCTAAAGTAGAGCTTCTAAGAAGCCAACATGAGGAGGAAGAACATTCCAGATATGGGAGATAACTATGCAAAGGCAATAAGGTGAGAGGTGGAACTTTGCTGTGCTGGGTGCATCAAGTAGGCCCATTTGATTTAAATGCAGAATGTGTGATAGGGACAAAACCAGATATAGCCACTTTCCCCTAGGACCTTCTTTCACACCTTCCACCCCACTCCACCAACACATTCTACTTTAAAGGAGTATGGGGTGGAGGGGGTTGGGGGCTGGGGAAAGAGAATTGCAATTATAATATAAAGATTTAGTGGGTGAAACACTCTGCCCAGGGTTTAATATTCAAACAGATTTGTCTTAATATTGTTCCATCTGTGATCTCCTTATTCAGAAGTTCCCCCTGATGGTACAGATTATAAACAACCTATCATGCTTACATATCCTATGTGATTACCATCTATATCCACTTGCAAATTAGCCAGTAATGGTTCACTTGATGTGCTAGAGTCCTTCCTCACGTTCTCCCGACATTTCAAAGTACCAATGGAGCACTGAGGCCTGTTTCCCCTACCTTCTTTATGTGTGACCAGTTCATCTTCTCTTATTTTCATATACTTCCTTGATGACAACCTTTACTGCTGTTTGTTCTTTTCTGGGACCTCTCATTGGTTAGATGTACACACATATGCGCAGCCTCCTCACACCTACCAAATGTTTTCCATCGCCCATCTCTAGTTCTTTAGAGGCAATGGTATTCCAGTTCTTGCTACCATATACCACAGCAGCACCGGCAAAAGTTTTTGTAAAAGATGGGCCCTTCAAAGAACTGGAAATTGAGAGGATGCCCATCACTTGAGGAATGACTGAGCAAGTTGTGGTATGTGAATGTAATATGCTATTGTGCTGTAAGAAATTATGGACAGGTTGACTTCAGAAAAACCTAGAAAGACTTGTATGGTCTGATGCTGAGTGAAGTGAGCAGAACCAAGAGAATGTCGTACACAATAACAGCTGCATTGTGCGATGACTACTGTTGATAAACTTAACCCTTCTCAGCAATATAAGGATCTAAGACATCTCCAGAGACCTCGTGGTAGAAAATGTTATCCACATCCAAAGAAAGAACTATGGAAGTTGAATTGCTACCTTTTTTTTCTCTTCTGTTGAGTTTTGCTTCCTCTTTCTGATGGTTCCTCCTATTGGCTTTAATTTTTACTTACAACATCACTAATGTGAAAATATGTTTAATACGAATATAAATGTATAGCCTATATCAGATTGTGTGCCGTCTTGGGGAGGGTGGTGGGGAGGAAGGGGGAGAAAAATTTTAACTCAAAAGCATATGGAAGTGATTAGTAATAAATCAAAATAAATTAATAAAATAAATTTTAAAAAAAGATGGGCCCTTGCTATCATGGGAAGCTTGAGATCGGTAAAAAAGCACTTTGCCATAATCTGAAAATAATCCAACCTATTCTCCTCCCTTTCAACTCCAAGACCAGCCTATCATTCATTTGTACTTTATGTCTCAGATAACATACTGTTGGACAAGCTCCGCAGAATGTCCGATGAGATGCATGTTAAATCTGGGCAATAAACAGTTTTTATCCATTTGGTCTTTCCTATGTGGATGGACAGGTCAGAGTCATTTAAGTATTATAGGTCTCTCTTCTGAAGTTCTGCCATATCTTGCAGTTCCATACAATCAACAGAAAGTTATTCTTAAATAGGAACCTACAAAGGACCTTATCATCCACAGGGAATCCCTCCGTGACCTAGACTCTGTGCAGGCTCCCTTTTATCACCATGGCAAATACTTTTAGTGAG